ATATCATACAGAAATAATGTACATAGTCAAGTAAAAATATTATTTTATTGTTGTAATAACTAGCAGAATAAATATTTTATTCAACTATAAACTATATTAATTCTAGGTAACATAAAATTTTTACAATTGTCACCCGCATAGTCACTATTATATATCTTTTTCTCTGAGTGTAAAATTTACACTGTAGATCGCAAAATAATTTACATTTCATACTTATCATCTCGCCGATTTTTAGTCTAATGTCAGTTATACTCCAATAAAAGAAATCAGAAGAAAGAAACGAGAAATTCTAGTCACGTTAAGAGCCAAGAGCGATAACCGTCGCGACGCAACGCAGCGGAGGCCGCGCGCGAGTCAACGTGTTTCATTGCTGCACGTTATAAATGCTCGTGGCGCGGCTGTTAAGCGATACATGCCTACAGTATCGCGGGTGGCCCCCGCCTTTCGCGCGACCATCCGCCGATCGTATATCGGTAAGTACAACTTCGTTCTCTCCCGCGTATGGAGATGTTATACCCCAGTGCGTACGAGCTCTTCTTGCGCAAAAAGCGCACGCATACCGGCGCACGTGCCAGCCGGTGCGATTATTCCGCTCGGCTCCCTCAGCTCGCTTTCGTGCCCGGCACGTCGGATCTCGATTCTCGCGGCGCGATCCTCTTTCGATGCATGCAATCGCCAATTGCGCAGCGCGGTGCGAGTTGATGATGACGATATCTCTCGCCAAGCGTGAGAAGGGGCGGGAATAAATTTACGATTTACGCGGAACGCTCAATTTCAATTTGCATAAGTAGTAAATACGCCGGGATTGAGTTACGCAACGAGTAGCGCGAGCTCCGTTTCGGCTGTGCGAACGCCTGAAAATATTCGCGGGAGGAAGACGAGAATATCACATTGTGCAACGCGAAGTATCCGGGATTAATAACCATGGAGAATCGGCGGTTCTTTTTATGATAATCGCGGATGAAACCGATATAACTGGTACTACGCGGTCATAATAATGTAACCGTTTTACTGCGGGATCGTTTTTCGGAAAAATCATCGAAACCAACATCGACGATGAGAGAATCGCTTTTTGTTGGCGTGGAAAATATTCTCATGTTATTGCGTTATAATACTTTAATTCCTTTTTATTTTAGTAATCTTATAATATCATTATGGTGTTTGGAGACTTAATCGCACTGTCGAAGAAAGATATCAATAAAACATGGCGATAATTTAATTGTTATGTAACGAAAATTTAATTTTTAATAAATTAATAAATAGTAACCCAGATCAATTAAACGAGCTATAATTAGATGTATGTGACAATGCAAAATTTTATTATTTTACAATATAATTTTCCAACGATACGTTTCGACTATATTTAGTTCTCATCAATCGCAGAAATATAATTATTCCATATAACAAAGATTAAATTAACATATTTAAAGGATCATCTCAACTTCGATTTTCAATAGTCAGTATTATATATTATAAACCGTATTATATTTAATCAATTTGTTGAACAATAAAACGTAGCAATGATGAGTTATTATAATCCAATTCGTCGGTTAACAGCGAGAAAGGGTAGTATGAGTAAAAGAAAGTTTCTAGTAAAATTACAGATGTAGATTGATGTCAAATTATATAAAATGATTGTACGTGCATCCTTAATACTATTGATAGATAAAATATTCATGAGGCAAATACACATAATATATCTTAATGAATTAGCTATATATTGCGATTGCAAAGTAAAAAAACTTAGAATCTGATACTGTTCACAAGATCTGATTGAAGACTGATACAAGATCTTGATTGCAAGGGAGTCTAAACAGGAAACTAAAATAATTTAGTTTTTAATTTAATACTAAAAAGATTTAAAGATGAATCGTAAAAACGATTAAATAATTAATCATTTATAAGGAATGATTAATCAATTTATGAGAAAAATTGTAAATAAAAGAAATACAATAAATAAAAGAAATACAATAAATTTAGTGTCCTACAATTATATAAAACGTCTGTTCTTTTCAGAGTGAACAGTGCAAGAAGTTCAACTGAAAAGGAGACAGATTAAGAATCAGAACTCGCAAGCTGTGCGAGTTTTTCGATCGCGACATACAAACTGGCACGGTAAACGGCGGATCAATCACGACGTACAAATTGCCAGCAGCGCGTAACATTGCGAGACCTAATCTCCACGATCAAATTTATCCGCAAGATGGAAAGCAACAGGGCACAACGTGTGAGGGGAAAGAAAAAGAAATAGCGGCGAGCACGATCGCGTTATCGACGCTTCGTCGACTCTTTAAATCAGCGAAGGTAGGTAGGCAAGACCGAGGGATGAAGCGTATAAGTGAGAATGGATGAGAGAATACTCTTTTACTTTCCTTGTCTCCTTGGCTCTTTCTTTTCTTTTTCCCACTCTCTGTGACGAAGAGGGGACACGCGCATGCAGATCACGTCGGTTGTAGCCAAGTGATAGCGTATCTGTGGGCGGCGCGTGCGTGTGGTCCTTCTATGTCCCTTCAGTTCCCCGCCTTATTCGGATCTTTCCTCGCTTCCACTATGCTTGAAGATATACCCTTTTTCTCCATTCCGAATCATCGTGAGTGCTACGTCCACTTTACAAATATTCCCCCCCCCCTCTCCCCCATTTCTTCAATTTTGCACGTCAATTTTGTTGATATAATACATAATTGGCCGAGAAAGTTCAGCTTCCATACTCATTACGATACGATCGTTTTAATTAGAAATGTGTGCCGTCTAACACTGACAGTTCGTATCTGTAAAGTGATCATACACTCGCCCACGTAGCCACTCTATATCGTATCGTATAACCGTTAAATTCTATAATCTTCTCCGGCGCGATATTTTTCTTGGATAATGAAAGAAGGTATGATGATATATCATCTGTGCGCAAATTATTATGCGAACGCTTTTCAAATAATTTCTGTTAATCGTTTATGGATGCGTAATAATTGACCTGAAGCAAAAGAGTAATTTTCGAATGTAACTTGAATTTTATAAAATCACATGCAAATTTTTTTAAAACATACGAAAATATACCTATAATTTATTTGAACGTGACATCGATATTATGAAATTTATTACGATATTTCTTTGAAAATATTTAGATTCTAATAAAATATTGCATGTCCAAAGTTTCCTCCATTTTGCTTCGAGTTAAATATTTTCGGTTAATATTGACTTATTTATCTCTATTATCATTTTCAAGGCGTGTCAAGCATATCCTTTAGAAGGTCACAAATTAAAAGAGGCAGAGAGTTAAGCGATGGTTACTATCAAGAATTCCGCAGGCGCGACGCAGAAGTCTCCGCAGAAGTGCAGGACAAATAAGCGATACTTCGAACGAACGTGACACAAAGACTCTCATCGAGAAGTCATTCTGGTCGCTTTCAGCGAGAGTTCAGGACTCGCCGTTCCCTGGCGACGTCTCCCGCGCTCCTCCTCTTCGTCTTCGTAACTCCCATATGTATATCCTGACGCCGTAAACACGATTTTGCCAACACGGAGTTTTGCGGTAAAACGACGGGCCGTAATTCGCGGTAAAACGTCCGCCGGTAAGAATTTATGAAAGCTCGCCCGGGAGTCCGGGTTTACGTGCGCGGGCAAGCATATACACGGACAAGCTGTAGCCGCCGTATGCTTCATTCGAGACGATGAGCGGCAGTCGACCGGTTGCACAGGATTCTTCTTATCGACGCGAGAAGGCCCGTCTTTGGATATACCTTCGGGATCCGAAATAGCGTCGTTGGGGCCCACTGAGCCCACCTCCACCTCCACCTCTTCCCGGCACCTTCGAGAAAAGAAACGTAACTCTAGACGTATCGCGGTGTCATGTCCTGCGCACCTGGCGGCCCCGTTCTTTGTAACACAATACACACGTTTCGTCCTCCTGCTCCTCCTCCTCCTCCCCCCCCCTCCCCCACCTCCTCCTCTTTAACTTCTCCTCCAAGCTTACCGCTGCCCTTTTGTCTCTTCTTCTCTCTGGCCCGTCATCAGCTTATACCTAGCCTGGATATGTGGAACGGATAAAAAAGGAGGAGGCAAAAATCCTGGTTTAATACCAGGGGGATTGGAATTTTCGGTCGGGCTGACGTACTCGCTCGAAAAAACCTGTTTAAGTGAACACACCGTAACGTCTGATATATCTAAGAGTCGCACAGATGAAGATTTAGACAGTTAAAATATTTCGCGACTATATATAGCAAAGAGGTCTGTTTTGCGTGTAATAAATTAAACGTGTGCCGCACACTGGTTTTTTTGAGAAATAAAAAAATTTTGAAGGGAATAAATAAAATCGATGGCATTAATAATAAATGTGATGATATTTCTCGCTCAAATTGATCCTTTCTAATATTTTTTCTATTAAAATTTCTATTCAAAAGCCTCGAATAATATTTTACCTATAGAAATCCGATTTCCTATAATAGTAACTCCAATTAAATCCGATTTGATTTAGCTATCATTTTACTGCGCAAGAGGCGAGGAAAATTAAGTGAGGGTACAGACGACTGTGAGTTAAAAAATAATAATAAATGTTTATTTTACACACGTGAACGAACAGAACACAATGGACACGTACAGTAGATACCGTTTAAAAATGGAGACGACTATACGTTATTCAAGAGAGAGAAGGTACCTACTACGTATCGCATACATAGAATTACAAACCTAAATATACACGAATTCGTATATCATTATCGTGATGTACATAACAATGATTACGCTCTAAACGTTAACGATGATAGATAGTGCAGGCGGATAGATACGATGTGAGTCAGAGGCTCGAATACGTGCAAGAGATCGAAATCCTGACCGTACTGGACCATGGACCGTGGCTCAGATACGACCGAATCAACCGTCGGAATCGATCGCACGTCGAAGTCAAGATCACTGCGGCGTTATAATAAATGGATGTCGATCCGTATCGTTGGCAGAAAGCTCAGGCAAGATTTTGTTCCGATGACCGAAGAAAAATCGATATCCATATATTAAGACGTCTCTTGAAGGACAATGGTACTTGAACCGGAAACAGGTATTCCCGATGGTGGTGGCGACGATGGTACTCCCAAATTGTGCGTCAATGAGTGTCTCCTCAGATCACAATTCCTACGGAAGACTTTGCCGCAGGAGGCGCAATGATAAGGCTTGATATCCGTGTGTGTGAGAAGATGAGTCTTCAAATTGCTCCTCTGATTAAAACTCCTGGCACAGACGGGACATTTGTGCGGTGATTCCTCCATATGCAGAATTTTATGAACAGCCAGTGTCCTGCTCTGACAAAATCCTTTGCCGCATTCAGCGCATTTAAACGGTTTCTCCTTGCTGTGTATATACCTGAAATACAGGAGGAAACTTTCCGGTTTAAATCTTACGCTTAAATTTCTCTTTAAATTATTTACTTTAACTATATTTTTTAAAGTCAGAATACTCAAAACTGTCATTTATAAAATTATAAAAGCGCGATTTTATATATATAT